TTTTTTCGTTGGGTTGGTCCTGATCTTGTGGGATACAGCTGATAGAATCAAATATACGATTCTGGCGCTGGTTACGATCGCGTCCCTCATCTACCTAGTGATCACATTCCTCCCATGGATCTTCCCGGCATGCCCTCTCCAAACTCCTATAACAGAAGGGACACCTTGGATTAGAAGGCCGATGGTCCGGGTTCAATGGCTAGGATCGTCCATTCGTCGTTCCGAAAGTGAAGGTTACAATACTTTAAAAGAATTTGTTGCGTTGTACCACGAACTCCGCTCGATCCCAGAACCACAAGAACTTCAGGCTCAAATTCTCGCTTGGGTCATTTCGAGCACGCTAGACGAGAAGGTTTTAAAAGAGGCATTGAAGGCGTTAGCGGGTATCGAATGGACGCAAGTATTGTGGGACACATTGGTTGAATCTGGTGCTCTTGCTATCCTGAAGGCAAGGCTCCCACAATACCTAACGCAGGACCGAACCTCGAAGAGCGACGAAGAGTGGATCTGTACCCTCTTGTACCTCATGATGCAACTCGAGATACGGGATACTTCAAGAGAGAGCTCGAACGGTTCTCCCTTCGAATCGTTACTCAGCGAAAGGGGTGTTCTTCACCGATGGCAAGAATTCAAGCCCAATGAACAGCCGCTGGCGTGCGTCCTCCGTCTACACATTCTCATGAATTGCAACGCAGATGATGCCGACACCAACTGGCAAGGGGATATTCTTGGACTCATCAAAACGGTGAACGATCCGTCGTTTTCGTGGATGCAAGAGGTTCTGTTGAGTGTTGCAACTAAGGGCGTCAAATATGGAAAAGAAAATATACGGAGAATGTGCGGGGTGATTACATCTGACCTGTTGCTATCAAGTCAGTAATTTTCCGAGGAGATCTATACCGTACTGACGATAGGCCAGGTGACATTCGGGCTTTGTCCCATCAACTTGGAAGATCAAACAGCCACTATCTGGCTAGTAATTGGACGAGAGATTATATGACAGTTCCTCAATCGCTGTGCAAGTTATGTCTGGATGAGGATTCGGGAGTGAGAGAGGGAGCAATAGAAGCTCTTATGCGAACATCCGCAGACCGTAATTAACATCATTTTTCTCTTGAAAATCCATCTGAATACGTGGGTAGATCAACTATGCCTGGGATTCGAAAGCGCATTCGAAGAGCTTGTGACAGCAGGACATCGGGACCAAACACCTAGAATTCTGGCGGCAATGACGGCTTTTGTACAGGATGGTGAGATATAGATATCGAAGGATCATAACGACTCATCGCCTATAGATAACCTTCGAAAGCATATGAAGCGAGGAACAACGCTCCTCATGAAACTGGTGGAGAATGAGCAACATGAATGCTGGGATAGCTCGGTCAGTGCCAGTATTATTCTTTCACATCACGGTAAGTTGATCGATTTGACTGGATTTATCTAATATGCATATAGCCGAGTTCCAATCTGCAATTGGGAACATGATACCCATGACTACCAAATTATTCGCAGGTACCACGAAAGTGCAAACGTTCATTGGTTGTGCAACAAGATGCTTCACTGCACGAGGTAGGCGATAGCATTCACTGGCAAATATATCTGACCAGTTGACAAGGTGCATTCAACGCCGAGCTCAAGGCTATCATCTTAGATGCGATAAGACAAG